TTGGAGTGGAGTTCCAAAGCATCTGATTTCACTAATGGTCCTCTACAACCTTGCTCACCAAGACAACCATCCTCCCTCTTGGGGACCCAAAAGTTAATCTCGTTATAAGCAGGATGCTGTATTGACAGTGCTCTCCTAATCGGTGTTCCATTGCATTGCAACTGGAAAGGGCCTACATGTATGCCTGTATGAAGCTCTAGATATGAGCCCATAATCCTTTGGGTTCCTGGAAAAAGGTTCTACACTGTGTTCACTGATCTGCTTGTACATCATCAGCAGTCTTGGGTGAGGCACAGCTTAATTGCACTGGTGCATGGCACTGCTCTAAGAGTTTGTTGCTCATGTGAGAGCAAAGACAATATGAGTGCAAAGTGCACACTCGTGCCTGTGTCTCACAGTAACCAAGATGTGCAACTCAGAGAGTGTCACGTCCGAAGCTTCTCTGTGCACACTGGCAGCTACCCAAAGGTACCGGTAATACCGTACACCGCCAATCTGTACAGCGAACGCTGCAAATTGATTCTGATTTTGTTTACGCAGCAGTAAAGGATTTCCATTAGAAGGCCTGTCTGCAAGTAAATCTATACGCAGAGCATCACTGATATTAAAAATTCACAGTGACTTGTCTGTGCACAATTTACATACATGTACATGTATGTACATTATTGAAAATGGTAGCTCTCCCCCCAAGTACACGAATATCACCTGGGAACATACAAATTCTACTCTTCTTGTGAAATGTATATGGGACAACCCTTCTTAGTCAACCTTCAAGGAAAGTTTCCATACTTTTCCTAACATATGGCAAAACATGTACCGGTACAATGTATACTGCAGTCACCAATGGATTAAAAAAAAACCAAAACAAAATAGAAACAAAACAAAACAAAAAACAAAGTCCCATCTGACATTTACATGAACATTTACGTGTACATGTACAAATGTATTCAACATTATTTTGCATGTGAACACTTTACTGATACCTCTAGCATACATTGCAGGAACTGAAGTACCAATGTTCGCTCACTGATAGTATTCGTTATGCCTTTCTCAGAATAACCATCGTAGTGGCAAACACAAAGTGACGTAAAAGATGAACAGAACAAGTCTTCAAGTTAGTGTAACTTTTGAAGGCCTTTGTCATTTAGACTACATTTGGAAGCACAATTTAAACAGCCAGTTGCCAATTTAGACACTGTCTGCTCTGGGGCAGAGACAATCGAAACTCACCGCCTCGTAAACAATCCAATCAATCTAATTAAGATTCTCTCTCTGAAATAATTCTATCATCTACTGGGCTCAATTAGCCAGCTTACATGTAAAATGGCCGCAAGGGACCATTGTTTTTCGCTTGTTTTGTTTTGTATTCCTTTGGTTTTGACTTCATAACAATTGATGATCAACCCCAAACATTGCAGATTCCGCATTTTTTAATTAGAAGTTTTGTACACATCAGCCTGAATCAGAGTCATTTCTACATGTTTATGCTAATCATGACATAAAAAACCCTTCATTTTGATTAACCCTAACAGTTCCGGGCA